TCAGAACAACAACGGCAGCAGCCACAACAGCAACAGTTGGGGATTGTTTTAGACGGATGTGGTGCTGGCGCCATTATTTAGGGTCCTCTTCATTTTGGAATCCGTATATCCCTATCACCCCCGGCCCCCCCATTTTGAAAACAGTAACTCGGGCATGCAGACGACTTGGATCGGTCCTTTTTGTGGATTTTGGATTTTGTCTTCCTTACACAGGACCCGTTCCTGGATCTTGTTGCACAGCTTTGGATCATGGGAGGCCTGCGTTTACCTGCAGCTCGGGGAGGAGTTTCCGGAGGAGTTGGGGGCAGTTTTGGCTGCTGGGTTTTGGGTTCAGGGCGATTGAGTTGAGTTTCACGATTTGGGTCGGGTGGGGTTGGAATCTGACTGTGGCTCCAGTCACAGAAAAGTTGCTGGTCAGAAGCTTCGATCCGAAGATGCTTACATGCAAAAAGTCTCAGATACATGAAGCGGTTAACTGATTAACTTAAGCGTGCCTGGCAACGCCAAGAAAGCAGCTTCCAACAACGGAGCCGCCCTAAACTGGCCTTAGATGGGGCATTGTTCACAAGCCTAGCTGGTGCTTCTTAACAGCTGAGGAATGAATCCCTCGTGTACTTGTTGTTGAGTCCGCTAGCCCACTTCCGATTATCCATTGATCCATTCCTGCATTCCAAAACCTTGGAGAGAAAAGGCTCCGCGAAAGTAAAGCCCGGAGGACCCGCAGCAACAGCTCTGGGGTGCAGTGGGTGCTGTCTTCGGGTCTTGGATGAACCAGAGGGCCAAGACCTACCGAAAGCTGCACGACATCCCGGAGGACACTTCAAGGGGAGAGGAGGGTTTGAAAGGGAGAAGCGGTAAATGACGATTTGATGGTTTGCATCTTGATGGCTTACTGTTGCAGTGATTGCTGTTCCAATTCTCAGGCACGGCATTGTTGCACGTTGCACTAACGTTGTGATATGCTGGCCTGATTTCTTCGCGTGGCTTTTTAAGCCCTGCCAGGAGTGGGGAACGGCCGTGAATGTTCAGGCGATGGTCTTCGGCAACATGGGCAACGACTGCGCAACGGGAGTTGCCTTCACCCGCAATCCTTCCAACGGCGCCAAGGTGTCTCTTGTGGTAAGTCTGCGGTTCCACATTGTGCGAATCCTTCTTCACCCACCTCCAGGAATCACAGAAAGTAATGTTATGCTCCAGGATTTCTACGGAGAGTTCTTGGTCAACGCGCAGGGTGAGGCCCGGGTTCATGGCAAGCGACTGTGCCAGCTGCGGCTAGTGCAATATCCTGTTCTTCTTTCCTGGGGCACCTAGTTATATCTGTCAATCCTATGGTCATCCCGTAATCAAAAGCCTGGATGGCCTGTGAGGATGTGGTGGCCGGCATCCGAACTCCTCAGGAGCTCACGATCAAGGCTTGCCAGCTGGAAATTCTTGAGCGCCTCCCCCCCCACCCAAATTCTGCATTCTACGCCCAACACCATTTTAAATTCCTAGACCTTATGCCCTGCTGGGGGAGGTGGCCACGAGTCAAAGTGAAACAGAACTTCTTGTCTTAAGGGGCCCAGATAACCCCGGGCACTTAGCAAGAGGCCTGGATTCTAGGAATTTTTGTCGTGCAATGAGCAATTGGGGCCCGGGCAAACCCACATGCCAACCTGCAACCCAAATTCAGCAAAGCGTCAACCCTAAACAAGGCTCGCAAGTCGCACGGCAGCGATTTGCCGTCGCTGGAGGAGGCAGGTGTTCGTCAAGGGCATAACTTGTTAATTTGTTTTTGCTAGGGATGTCAAGCCTTGTGGCCGTTCAATGGTAAGGGTGTCTGGGTTTCCAAGTATGAGGCGTCCTTCTGGGGCATCCCTATAACTGGCTCCAGGAACGTGTTTTGGGTGCATGAGCGAGACCCTTGGTTTTTTGGAAGCACGCATGTACATGATCAGTTAATTGCCACACATGTGTTCGTATTCTCTCGTGTTGGATCCTGCTCTCCGACTGCGTGCTTGAAAGCGTGCACTTCCAGCCTCCACCACTGCCAGGTGATGCCCAGCATCTTCCGAGAGTTGGAGACCGTGCGCCACCAGCTGGAGAACCATTACAGGGACATGCAGGACATCGAGCTTCTTGGCTACAAACTACCAGCGCTGAGATCATGAGCACTCAGACTCTTCACATGGCTGTCCGTGGGATTCCGTTACGTTTCTGAGAGCTGAGGTTTACAATCCAGCAAGGCAGGCCGCCTTGCTTTATTCGGAGTCATACACGTTTAGCTTTTTCCTAAGCTCTGAATCCCGAGACCTGAAAACCCTGCGCCCCAGAACCTGCCCGAAAGGCAAGCTCTACATGCTCCAGACCCGCACGGGGAAGCGCACGGCCCATGCAGCCCTGCAGATTGCGGTGGACATGGCGAATGAGGGGCTAATTAGCAAGTCGCAGGCACGGGGAGTCGAAGGGGTGTAAGGTCCGGCGACAAGGTTTTTTCCAGTGTGCATTTAGGACATGTGATTCGTAAACTTCACAAGCTAAAGCCGCAAAGTCCAAAACCCAAAGATCCACTTGACTTCTTAGAAGCTGGCCATGAAGGCGTTGATGCGCTTGAAGCCAGATTTGATCGACCAGCTGCTGCACCCAACGCTGGACCCCAAGGCACAGACGCCGATAACATGTCCAGTGCTAGGACTGCTAGGGTGTGCTAGGACTGCTACCAGGGATCAGGGTTTGGGTTCGGAAGTTCAGGGTCTATAGGGCTCTTGGTTTACGGTGCGGGGCTTAAGGGATGCTGTGAGAGCACGACTATGCAGCAGCTGCAAAGTTTAATCACAATATCTGGAGGCAAAGAAGACCGTCATTGCCAAGGGCCTTCCTGCTTCGCCAGGCGCTGCTGCTTTTACAGAATTCCTCAGCCCAACATTTCCGAATTACCTGCTCTAAGCTCCAGTTCCGAAACCTATCCACCCAACCTGCCCGACATACCCTAGACTTCGTTAATCCCACCAGGGCCTTCTCATGATATTCGGGGGGTAAATGTGGACAAAGCCCCCAGATGCCCCAGGTGCGGCAGCTGGGAAGGTGGTCTTTTCGGCCGACGAGGCCGTGACACGCTCGGAGAACGGCGACAAGGCATACGATCTTTTGACAACGGGAGGGGTGGCTTGTAAAGCAACGGATGATTTGCGCGCCTCATGTTGAGACACTTCTACAGGTGATCCTGGTGCGGATTGAGACAAGCCCAGACGACATTCACGGCCTCCACGCGGCGGAGGGTGTACTGACACCTGGCCTTCAATCTTTAGAGCTTGGGTTTAAGTGTTTTCAAAGGGGTAGCGCAGGAGCAGAGATACCAACGTTTTGAGTAAATCTTTCGTCCCGTCCTAATTCTCATTGTTCGGAAGCTACCAAGATAACCAAATCAATGAAAGAAGCACTTCCAGGATGTAGCTAGCAATCATGTTGACAGATGTTCTCCCAACACAGTCCGAATCATGCCCATCACACCTTGCGCTGCAAATCCTAAACTCTACACCCTAGGACCACGCGTGGTGGGATGACCAGCCATGCGGCTGTGGTGGCGCGTGGCATGGGCCGGCCCTGCGTGGCAGGTGCTGGCGAGGTGAAGGTCAACTACAGCTCCGCGTCCTTCGAGGTGACCGGGTGACATAGGAGTTGCACATGGGTTATGTAACGGTTATAAGGGGTTGCGCCAGGTTTGGGACGCAGAATTGAGGGTGAAGGAGGTGGCACATCGCGCTTAGGCAGTGGGCCCTCAGAGAACTCCAAATGTTGTAAGCTGGGTATGGAACAAGGTTTTCTAGGGCGATCTACTTTTTCTGCTCTGGCGAGTAGCAATTTAGATGTATGACTCTCACCGAGAATTTCAAC